GAATAAAACAATACATTATCAAACATGTATGATAACATGAGTGGCTGCTACAGGTCATGTGTAAGAGTCTCAGCCACTCCAAGTTTGTGAGACGCAACAGTACTTGACTTAAATACATGCACGTTACAAGAATAATTCACGACTTGGCAGGTTACATATAAGGAAGAAGTAGCTTTATTTTAAAAGAAAAGGGAGAAGTAGCAATATGTTTGGCAATTTGATTGAAGTTTGCTTGAGGATGTACTACTTTACAGGAATTAGACCTTGTGGGAAAGACCACTTTAAGCACAAGTGTACATTAATAATACATTACCAAAAACATAATATTTTACACCATGTTCTGAATACATTGGGACAATTTATTAACATGCCAATTTGATTACCGTGCAATCAAATCAGTGGATGCAATTTTTTTCAAAGTGAGAAATTTCTATTCTTGCATGAAGATGATAATGTTCCTTCGCGTCAACCTAGCAAATCTGAAATAGTTATGAAGTTATCCAAACATCTTATAACATCTATTTTTCTGTTTTGATGCAGTCATTGTGCTGAATTTACTTCCCAGTTGGAGGTGTACGATGCGAGGGCTGGGAATTATGGAGTAAAATAGGTTCTCGAGGCTACCATGTTAAATTCACCACCGTCCTTCAAAAGAAAATGTTAGCACCCTTTCGGGGATGTTTGTCAAATAGAATCAAGTGATGTGGCTAATCCTGTGACTGGTTTCTTACCTTCCACATCAAATGAATATTTCTAATATAATAAATGCTGTCTACTTTAGCCAGCTCTGTTCAAAGTAATGATTTTCGCTAGAATCATGTATTTCCCAATAGGAAACAGTCCATTCCCATCTGATCAAACAAGGTAGTGGATAAACTTTGGCAGAGCTTGGGTTTGCCTTTTGAAAGGAGGGCAGGGTGGGGGAATAGATGTGGTTGTTGAGTTCAACTCAAGCTCTCACTGACTTAGTAGAAGGTGGACTGACCTGGAAACTGGGAAATGCTGCTGTACCTAGTCCAAAGACTGAATCCACAGACGTGCAGCCAGCCCTGGAGATGATTAAGCTGCCTGGGAGCAATAATGGAGATGGATCTGCAAAGCCACATTGTCTGTCGTCAAGATGATGTGGATAAACCAGAGACTGGCTTTGCTGCTGAATTTGAGTAAGTACACAGAAGGGTCTAGATTGCGAAGAACAGCATCAATTCATGACTTGGTAGGTTATGTAGAAGGAAGAAGTAGCACCTTTTACATTTTTTTAAATGAGGGAAAAATAGCAGTATGCGTGGCTGTTTGGTTGAAGTTTGCTTCAGGACGTTTTTTCACACCAATTAGACCTTGTGATTTCACAGCGAAAGACTACTTTGAGCATAGGGAGGGAGGTGTCACAGCGAGAGTCTCTTCCCTAAACTCATTTTATCCACCCATCATGGTTTACAGATTCCAAAAGTTGGTGATATAGCCTCAGAAAATGAAGTTTACTATTTAGAAAGGAAACCAGGCATTTGGTGAGAAGTTGCAGTTCTCTTCAATCTCGAGAACAGTACTGAATACATCACCTTTAGCCTAAATTTCTGTGCTAATTAAACTTCCAGGTTACATTCTTTATCACGATAATCTGATGACACCCTTTAATCAAAGAGGCCACACGGTTTGAGAAAGCCGTGCAATTCAAATCCTTCCCGATGTAAACAGGCAAACAAAGAAAGCTACCTAATTATACAGACACAGGTTCCCACAGCTACAAGAGAAATTGATGGACACGTCAAATTCAAAGACCCATACAACCTCCACAATTTTAATATCTTATTATGTGCGTCTAGTATGTGATGCCTGTCATCTCATTCTGTCAATGCCAGAAAGCTACCATGGCATCTTTATCAGGCACCAGCCCTCATGACTTGGATCCATGTATTGTTGTTCAGGACTTTATTCATAATTGGTGATCCTAATGAGGCTTTAATTGATGCAAAGCAGAACAAGCACAATGAGAACCATGCAATTACAAGGAATAGAGCAGAGATTATGGATTCTGAATTTCCATTCTAGGTGCCAAGTTAAATCTGGTGTTGCCTTGTAGTGTAGCCTAATGAATTTTAAGAATCATTGAAGCTTGCTACATTTCACATTTTAAAAATTTTCTCCATTTTTCCATGGGATATGGGCATTGTTTGCCATATCAACATTATTTGCCTATCTGTAATTGTGCTGGATAATTTAGTGATGAACTGCTGCCTTGACCTGCAGTCCTTGGGGTCTAGGGATGCCGGTGTGTAGGGTGGGAGGTCCAGGATCTGGGCCCAGTGACAGTGAAGGAACCGCAGACCAGTTCCAAATCAGGGTGGTGTGTAGACTGAACAGAAGTTACAATTGGTGATGTTTTCATGCATTTGCTGCCTTTGGCCTCTCTAGGTGGTAGAGGACATGGTTTTGGAAAGTGCTGTTGGAGACTGCCTGACAGGTTACTGCCGTGCATCTTATCGATGGTATTCAGTGCAGCCACTGTGGTGCCAGGAGTGAATGTTGAAGATGGTGGATGAGGTGCCAGTGAAGCAAGCTGCTTTGTCCTGGACGGTACTGAGCTTCATGAGTATTGCTAAACTCACCCAGGCAAATGGCCAATATTCCAACACACTCCTGACTTGTGCATTGTGGATGCTGGCAGGCTTTGGGAAGACAGGAGATGAGCTCTGTTGTTACGTGGATGATGAGCTTCTCCCATTTGTCCACATTTCAGCCATATGAGTGCAAACCCTTTTCACTTCCTTTACAAGATCAATACTGCCTAATCATAACTTTTGAACATCGTGCATCTTAAAATTTCATGATCCAAAATTCTTCATTCCTCCACCCTCTATAGAGAAATGCCACTCAATGAGTGAACTTTCTCACTGTATCTCTCTCAACCAATCCTTCATGCTGAGTACCTTACTTAGCAAAAACAATTCCAACTCATTTCATCCTTGTTTGCTGATGATTGCACAGTGTCCAGCACCATTTGCAATGATTCAGATACTGAAGCAAGATCAGGACAACATCCAGGCTTGGGCAGAAATGTGGAAAGTAACATTTGCACCACGTAAGTGCCAGGCAATGGCCATCTCCAACCAGGAGAATCTAGTTGTCTCCCTTAGATATTCGGTAGCATTACCATGACTGAATCTCCCACATCTTGGGGGATACCATTTACCAGAAACTGAACTGGACAAGGGAGAGGCATTGGCATAGCAATGATGTCAGTGGACTGGTAATCTCATCAAGGCAGGTGATGGCATTTTAATTAAATGAATACATGTAGAACATAAAGCTATTCTTAGTGATGGTGCCATGCATAGGTCCATCACTAAGAACTCTACAGTGGAACTCACCTCCTGGCTCCTCAAATCTTGTTCACCATCCAAAAGCACCAGTCAGAAATTTGATGGAATGCTGTCTACCTGCCTGAATGGATGCAATTCCAATCGTTCAAGAATCTCTACACCATCCAAGGCAAAGTATTCAGGTTCATTGGCATCCCACTTTAAACATTCACTCCCTCTACCAAAGTAGCAGCAGTGTGTGACATTGCAAAGTCCAATACTGCAATTCACCAAGGCCCCTTCAACAGTATCTTTCAAACTTCTACCACCTGGAAGAACAAGGGTAACAAGATGCATTGCAACACCACAAAGCCGTACATCACCCTGACTTGGAAATATGTTGCCATTCCATCACAACCTTCCTTATAGTACTGTGAATGTACCTACACCCCAAGGACTACAGCAGTTCAAGAGGCACTGACCACCAGGATAATTTAGAGATGGGTGATAAATGGTGACCCAGCCAGTGACAGCCATGTTCCATATATTAGCAAATAAAAAGTAAGCCCCTTATTTAGATGGTTCTATTATGGATAAATGCACAAACAAGATGCCATAATATCCAGGCTATTCTCACACCACTTAAACAATGATGGAGTAGGCAGGGAAGTGCCAGCAGTTGAGGTTTTGGATCCAGCAGCAGATTGTCCGTGAAAGAGCTCAGTGGTCATCATTTTGGGTGACCATTTTCCGTTGTGATGTGTGAACAGACAAGCTGGTTAGTTACTTTCAAAACTGAATTTTACCTGGAAGGTAAAAAGACAAGCTACCAACATGATTAGTAATTGGAATCACTTTGCCCTTTGACTCAAGTATCCTTACAAATTGGCAGTAGTTCTGCAGCAAATATGGTGAGTCACCAGATTTATTTAAATAACCAGATTTAAATAAAGAAAATACACGTGTGTTTGGGTTCCCCTGAGCAGAAGTGAATTCCTCTGATCTCTAGGTGCTGAAAGATTAAAAGCATAATAGCTAAGGTGCAATATGCGGGCTTTGAATGGCAGTGGATATGGGTTGGTGAAGTGCTGTGGCTTTCCTTGATCACACTTCTTCAGAACCCTTTTTTTTGTCAGTGTCTGGCTGTTCATTTGACTGATTTAAGCTGTACTGACTGCATTTACTGTCTGCCTGCACACGTCCATCCCCTCCTCACTTCCTATCCCTTAATCCGGCCAGCAACCTTTTTGTTGATCCACTTGAAAACTTGGGGACCCTTGTGGACATGCATAAACAGTGAACTAATCAGAAGCATAGTCACTGCTCCAGATCTGAACCACATAGTAAACAAGGACCAGTGAGGCCACTTCATTGGTTTACTGATGAAATCACATGATGGGATTCCCATTCTGCTGTTAATCCACCAACTAGAGAATTCAGCACAAAGACTTTGTCGTTTGCCCATCAGTGCACATATGAGCTGATTGCGCACAAAGCATTCAGTATTTCATGACTTATGATTTTTATAATGCACACATTCAGTATTTGTAATTGAAATTTTTTAACAGCCTTTTATTCTCCTCTTCCCCCAAATAATTCATGTTCTTTCCCCCTTCCTGTTTCAACCCTGCCATTCCTAAAATTGTGGTTTTGCAACTTTAAAACCAGCAGCAGATGACAAATTTGTCTTTCTTCCACCAGGATGCTGGAAGCCAACAAATTGGTTTTCTATTGGGAAGTTGTGGTGTTACTGTAGCATTAACTAGCGATGCTTGTCACAAAGGTTTACCTAAAAGCCCAACGGGGGAGATTCTACAGTTTAAAGGTAATTGGTTTTCATGTTTTTTTTAACTCCACATTTGTTATTTTTAGGTTGCTGCGCTTTCCTTTAATTAATTACTTGGGGCGAATCCAGCTCCAGTTAATCCCATCTATTTCTGCAGTGATTGCAATCATCCGTGCATAACAAATTAGATTTTCTTCAAAGCTCAGAAGTGTATTTCCCCCAATTTAGCATGATCTTGTTGTTCTGTACACCATAGCTGTTGGTTTTAATAACTCCCCTATTAGAAATGATAAGCAAATTATTAAATTGGATATGAAATTCAGCAGCCACAAATGCATAGAAACTTGTTAAAGACATTTTAACATAAAGACCACAATTAATGCTGTGAGTTGTATATGAGCACCTCATGTAACCTTTTGTTTATTTTTACCAGAGATGGTAACCTATTTAATACAGACATTTGAAGGCAATTATTGAAGTAGTGGGAAACTGAATTTCATATGATTATACATTGAGAGTTTGATAACATTTTGACATTTGGTTTGATGTTAGTGGAATGGTTTAGAACACTGTTTCTTCATTTTTGGGACCAAACTTCAAACCTATGCTAAACTCAAGAGATCATTCTCTCTCTGACTGCCAGATACTTTTTCTCCCAACATTATCGTGCATGTGTATGCTGCTGTTCTTTCTCGCTTCCTCACATGGTCTGAAGCTGACTTTTTTCTTTATTCATTAATGGGATGAGGGCATCGCTGGTTAGGCAGCATTTATTACCCATCCCTAATTGCCCAGAGAGCAGTTCAGAGTCAACCACATTGCTGTGGGTCTGGAGTCACGTGTAGGCCACACCAGGTAAGGATGGCAGTTTTCTTCCCTAAAGGACATTAGTGAACCAGATGGGTTTTTCCGATAATCAAAAATGTATTCATGGTCATCACTAGATTCTTAATTCCAGATATTTTTATTGAATTCAAATTCCACCATCTCTGTGGTGGGATTCGAACCCAGGGTCCCCAGAACATTATCTGGGTCTCTAAATTAATAGTCCAGCAATAATACCACAAGGCCATCACTCTGCTATTACAATATAAATATATAGTGTATATAATTTTTAACTTTTTAAAAAATCTAGCCTATAACTTGTCACCTTTCAAACTTGCACAAAGGCTGTATCACAGCCACTTGAAAGATTATTTAGCAATTGTTTAACTACAAGTGGTATGCGAATTAATTGTTGAGATAACTTAGATGTTTAAAATTTGTTTTTAAGTTCCTGTGGGTTCAGGATTTACTTCTGAAAGAATTTTTGGAGGAAAATTTTGTATTAATTAAAATGTAAAAATAATTATGGGAAAAAATTGCCATATTAGGCACTTTAGCATTCCATCATTTTGATGCAGCTGATTTTTTGTAAAAAAAATGTTGATCTTTTAAAGTTTATTCAGATTAATAGTTCTACTTAAAACATTTTAATTAGTAGTCTAATTTTGCTGATCTAGAGAAGTACATAAGCAAAACAAAGGGGACTGTTGTGGTGCAGTGGCAGTGTCGCTATCTTTGTTCCAGGAGGCCTGGCCTCAAGTCTGAGCTGTTCCAGGGGTGTGTTATCTGAAAACAATTTGATTAACAAGAATTTACAAACAGCACAATTTATTGACAGAGATAGTAGGAACTGCTGATGCTGGAATATGAGATAACCAGGTGTAGAGCTGGATGAACACAGCAGGCCAGGCAGCATCAGAGGAGCAGGAAAGCTGATGTTTCGGGTCTGGACTCTTGTCTTAGTTTTGCACAAATGCAAGAACTTTAGTTCTAGGAGTCTGCTGACTGAATCTGTATTCTTTAACGATCTGTGGGCATGGTGGCACATTCTTATTGTCCGTATCAATTTGCCCTTGAGATCGTGGTAGTGTTGTTAGCCATCTCCTTGAATCACTGCTCTCCATGTGATGTAAGTGCACTGAGGACTGTTAGGAAAAGATTTCCAACTTTTTGACCCAATCACAGAGAAAGAACAGCGTTGTAGTTCCAAGTCAGCAAGATATGTACCTTGGAGGGGAACCTTCGATAGTGATGTTACCACGTGTCTGTTCTCCTTGTCCTTCTTGATGGTGTGTTGTGGGTTTGGAAAATGCTGTGGAAGGAAACTTGGCAAGTGGTTGCCATTCATTTTGGACATGGTGTTCTGTGCCAGTGATGGAGAAATTGAATGCCTAAGGTGGTGTATGAAGTGCCACTCATGTGGGGTGCATTGTCCTGGATGATGTTGAGCTACTTGAAAGGAGTTGCAAATGGAGTGTATTCCATCACACCCCTGACCTGTGCTTTATCGATAGTAGATATGCTTTGGTGATTGAGAAGGTTGCTTCTCACAACCTATTCTCAGCCACTGGCCTACTATTGTAGCACTTATATTGTTAGTCAAGTTCAATTTCTGGCCAATCCCCAGGATACTGTTAGCAGATGATTTGATCATGGCAATACTTTTGACTATGAAGGAATGGTAGTTAGATTCTCTCTTGTTGGAGATGATCATTACCTCATCATTGAAGTAAGTAACATCCAAACCAGACATATCAGCTGAAGCCTGAAAATTGTCCAGTTCTTGTTATGGACACAAGCTGCTTCAATATCTGAGGAGTTGTGAATATTGCTGAACACTGTGCAATCATCAGCAAATATCTCCATTTCTGTTTTTTGTGATGGAGGAAAGGTCATTGATGAAGCAGCCAAAGATGGTTGTGCTTAGGACACCAATTGGGGCATCTTCTACAACGATCTCCTGCGACTGAGGTGATTGGTATCCATTTCCCACAACTGTCTTTGTGCTTGGTTTGACCCCAACCAGTGTAGAGTTTTCCCTTGAATTTCCATTTACTTCAAATCTGTTAGGGCTCCACCATGCTGCATTCAGTCAAAGGCTGCTTTTATGTCAATGGCATTCACTCTTGTCTGACTGCTTGAAATCAACTTCTTCATCTAATCTTAGAACTGACTTTGATGTAGTGTAGAATTGAATGGTCCGGATAGAAGTCAAATTGAGCATTAGTGAGCAAGTTATTGTTGTGAAAGTGTCATTGATTTCACTGTTGACATGTCCTTGCTGAGGATCAAGAGTAGACTAATGGGACGGCGATTGGCCAGATTGCATTTGCCTTGCTTTTTGGAACAGTAGTTTATTAATATCAAGGGAACTTGTGACTTAAGACTGTCAAGGTTTGTATCACTGATAAAAGAGTTTCTAGCTCACTCCATTTCGGATAGCTCACTTCACCCTGCAATGAGTCGATTTACTCTCTGTCATTTTAGGTTGGCCACGGTTGCTGTGGTTTGTGACAGAATCTAAGCATCTATCTAAGCCACCTCGGGATTGGTTTCCTCATATCAAGGATGCAAATAATGACACTGCATACATTGAGGTGAGAACAACTGCAATGATGAAACAAAATGTTTCCTAAATAATTGACTTGATCAATGAATGTGCATCATGACTTTCTGTTTGTATTGGCTTAAAACAGAATAAGCTTTGATATCTATCAGACATGTTGAAAAGTATGTATATATTAGTGCGAATTGCAGAATCAATAAATTGGTATTTGCCCTCAAGCTTAAAAAGGGGCAAGGAAGGGAAAACGAACTACACTGTAAACTAAATTATGGACCTAACCAACATTGTGAGCATGTTTACAGGCTTGACCTTTTCATTCCAGCCTGCTCTCCATGTGGATAGCATTGCTTGGAGGAGGAGAGAAGTCAAGATTCTAGAAGCATTACTATTCAAATGATACGAATGGGCCGCCCTCACTTAGACACTTCATGATGAATTATTAGTGAAACCCATTTCAAGGTCTGACTATTTGCATGAGAAAGGATGAAACTGTCTCAGCAAACAAGACTCCTACTTTTGAGTATATGTCAGTGGAAAGACAATGATGTACTATTGAGTAGAATATCAGCATTGAAAGTAGTAACCATCAGTCGTGATTAATTTAACAATTTGAATCTCAAATTGTCAAGTTGCTGACTCTTCCTTTGACTTTCATTTACAGAGAAATAGTCAAACAATTGTACCATCAGAAACATTCTCCTTTATTGCAATCTCACATATAAAATGCTTTGGCACATTCAGTAGAATGGGGCTGAATACTTTTGGTCAAACTTCCTTTAAGTCTTCTACATCTTTTTGTAACTACACTTGCTCCTTCTACAATAACAATGTGCATTTATACAGTGCCTTTAAGAGAACAAAATTAATGATATTGTATCATAAGTGTGCAAAAACTCAAACATTTTATTGCTGTATTCATGTTCTGCTGTAGAGGGGGTTATAAAGAATTATATTTGATGTTCTTGGGACAATTTGGATACTTTTGAACATGATCCACACAGAAAAGTAGATTTAAGACAAATATCACTAATAACTTGCTTATGTAAAGAACATAGAACAGTACAGCACAGTACAGGCCCTTCGGCCACCTATTATCCTACTAAGATCAATCTACCCTGCATACCCTACATTTTACTATCCTCCATGTGCCAATCCAAGAGTCGCTTAAAAGATTAGTTTTTGGGATACCATACCAATAAGGGCAAAAAAACTACAAACAATATGCGATTGAGTGCAGCATTTGCAGAGTTTCTATGTTTATGAGCTCCAACTGCTGAATTAGCCATTTATTGTTCTCAGCTCTTCTTAGGTTGCTAAATGTATGATAAAGTTATCTGGCAACATATCCTCAAAGTATAGAGTATTATGTGAGTGCTACCACTCCTTCAATTTCTTTGGTCTGTTTTTATTATTAGTACAAGACGTGTAAAGATGGCAGCGTGCTCGGTGTGACAGTGACACGAATTGCACTGTTGACTCATTGTCAGGCTTTGACTCAGGCCTGTGCATATACAGAAGGTAAGGCTTTCTTTGCCTTCTGATACTTATGACACAAAATAAAATATTGGCTGGAATATAATTCTGCCTTCTGTAAATAATGAGATGCAATGTCTTTGCAATGGATTGGTGGACCTCTTAGCGTTTGGTTGTTTGACTTTAACCAAGTATATTGATATATTGAAGGAAAATAAGCTAAGGTTGTGCTGATCAGTTATCTGGGTTTCATAGTTTTTATAAATTTTGGCCACCAAATGTTACTTTCACAATGCTTCTTTTTTCCTTTTTCCCATTTGCATTACTTCTGTTTCCACTTCCTTGTATGCATTCCAGTATTTTTATTATTGTTTGCACACATATGAAAATAATCTCAACTGGAGGAGGTGTATAAACACAATTTGAAATGCCAGTTTGGCTACTTCAGTCTGATGAGTTAAGCATTGGGATATTGTTTTACATTCTGATTCATCAGCACTACTTGTAATGCTTGCATTAAAACCAATAAATATCAGGATCAGCTTTGATGTCCACATTGTTGATACCCTGTCAAGACTTGCTCACCTCACATAAAGTGTGGTGCCATTCGACCAGGTCACCAGAGACCAACTGGTTTTGCAAAAGTGTAGGATAACCACAAGCTAGTGCCTTTAGGAAAGGAAGAGTGTAGACAAAATTGGCAAAATAAGAAACATGTGAGGCTTGGTTCTGGAAGCAACAGATGGTCTTCATTTGATTATCCAAAAATGTGCAGGCTGGGTGGGTTGGTCACGCTAAATTGCCCGTAGTTTTCAGGGATGTGTAGGTTAGGGGGATGGGTCTGGGTGGGATGCTCTGAGTGTCGGTATGGACTTGTTGGGCCAAAGGGCCTGTTTCCACGCTGTAGGGATTCTATGAAAATCTATGAATAAACTGCAGACCAGTAGCAAATGTTTTGACCAAGGTTCATAATGACTGGGTGATCTGTTTCCATTTGTATCTAAATCTTGAAGATCTTGCTGAAGTGATTTACTATCTGAAAATAAACAATCTCTAATGTAGAAATTATTGTTTTCTTCAAGGTGATTTCAGAATGATTTAGACTGTTAATGTTTGAAGATAGAAGTTGTGTTAATTTCGAGGTTCCACAAAATGCTGTTTAACTACAATTTTGAAAGTCAGTTCTTTGGCATTGTATCATGACCTTTATTGGTACCTGTTAGTGTTGATTTTAAATCAATAATGAATAGGAAATTTAAATGGCATGTTCTGTCTTGGGGACTTGCAGTTCTCCCCTAGTTGGAAGTATTAGGAGTTTGCATGAAACATGTCTGCGTGACATATATTGCAAATTTATTTAGTTCAATTTTGTTCCTCTCTTGACTCAGTAGTGTTGGTTTTGTCCCTATTACTGCTAAAGTAATAAAGTGTTTACAGTAATCTGGTGGCACTGTATTTTCATGAAGAAAGATATACTGAGGTGTCAAAGTAATGTTGAATAATTCACAAATAATAAAACGAGCCCAGTTATTTTTTATTTTGTGCTTTATACTACTTCAGAAGTGACCACTGCAACTTATTGATGCATTAGCACCTAGCCTCCCACACAAATTGAGTTTGTCTGTAATTCAACAGTTATCGGTAATTAAATCAAGAATACTTTCGTAGGTATCATATGACTAAAAATATACGCTAGGAATAATGGTTAACAGTAAATTAACTTATTTCAGGAAGATGCCATTCACAGTGCATATTCTGTCAGCAATGACGTTATTCTGAATCATTATCCTCCGAATAAAATTTTGAATCATCCCTAATAATTCAAAATAAATGAGCTAAATCTAGCTGAAGAACATGCGATGACCAAAAATAAATTGTGAATAAATAGATTTGAGAAATTATATTGATTAGAATGCGAAACAAGTTTTTCCATCAGATTCACGGTTGCTCTCTGGTATGTGTACAATTCCGTGAACTCAGAAAGGCAGTACAGTACAATAAATTTATTCGGTATGACTGGATTAGGGAGAGAAAAATACAACAGGATTACTGCTTGTGACTGTTACTCATTGACCCCTGCTGAAAGTGCACATGTGGAGAATAAATGAGGGCCTATACTGCCTCTGTGGTAGATTGACCTGCTAACAGTCATTATTGTGAATTGGACAGGAATACTGACACATTAAAGGGTATCGGGCACTTTACCTGAACAGGGAATTAACAATTGGAGAAATCATAAGTGTTAACGCAATTTTCTTATTAAAAAACCTTTTTCTGAAAATCTGTGTCTTGATTGTGCCTCAGTGCACAAGGGGTGCTCAGTGCAAGCAATTGAGTGCCAGAGAAGTCTCTGGCTACATCACCAACCCTTGTCATGAAATATGGGAAATTATATAAAGAGGCAGGGCACAGCATTTATTCCCATTTAACTTTAGAGCTACATTTTAATCTGTATGTTCTACAGCTTTATCCTGGTACATCCCAGTTTGAAGACTAACTGACAAAATGAGAAAAGTTCTTATAAGAGTTCCTTAAAGTGTTATTTCTCAAATATCATGATCAAAACACTTATGACTATATGGGAACAGTCGTCTTTGGTGGCTGGTGTGCTGGTCTGTGACATACTGACCTAGTCCAATTCTTTCTTTGTGTTTGAGTTTATCAGTCTCAATTGGTGAGGAAAGAGGGCCACTATATTATTTTTATTATTCCCAGGCAAACAAAAGGAGCATGTTGTACTTGCTGCTCACAGTCATTCAGTGACTTTCTCAGTATCAATGGATACATAAGATACATTGGAAGAAACCCTGCAAATATCCACTATGTCAGGCAGCATCTGTGGCAACAGAGTCAACATTTCCATTCTAGAGGCCCATTGATCAGACTGAAGAAAATTAGAACCATAAAAAGTTTTCAACCCAGTAGAAGATTGGAAGGGGCTTGCAGAACAAGGCAAAAGAGATAATCAGAGACAAATGCAATATTTTGCTAAAAAGAAACCAAATGAACTGTGGATGCTGTAAATCAGAAACAAAATCAGAAATTGCTGGCAAAGCTCAGTAGGTCTGGCAGTATCTGTGGAGAGAAGGATTGTTTGACCAAAAACATTAACTCTGATTTCTCTCCACAGATGCTGCCAGACCTACTGAGCTTTTCCAGCAATTTCTGTGTTGTTGCAATATTTTGCTATTGAGTTTGTGTTTAATTGGCTGACACTTCTCTTCCAGGAATGCCTATCTTTAAGAAGTTGGGCTCGTCTCATCAAGGGGATTCCCATCTGCCGGCCCTCCTTTGATCTTCTTTCCCCCTTTCCCCACCCCTCCATTGCCTTAAGCTTTGACATTTCTGTCTCTCTCTTCAGTTCTGAGGGCAAGGTCCTCTTGATGTGAAACATTAACTTGGTTTGTCTCCACAGATGCTGCCTGACTTGTTTTGTACTTGCATGATTTTTTATCTTTCTTTTGAGTTTCCCACAATGGTGGTATTTTGTTTTTGTATTAGAGAGCAAAAAACTGGATTACCCTGTCTGTAATGGAATAATTATGAAGCATATTCCCAGGGGATATGTGTTCAGCCTCACTCATGAATGATGACCATTTCAGATGCCAAAGAGCCTTGCTGTCTCTGAATGTATATCTCACTTCAGGAGAGAATGGGCAATGATACAAAATTAGAGGAAAAGCAAATAACTAAGACATAGCATTTAGGTTTGAAATGAAATTAGGAGGAATGTATTCCCTGTTTAATTAACCTTTGAGATCATCATTCTAACTGAGAAAGTCTTGTCTATCTTAAACAGCGGAAACCATTGTGAATGTATTGGATTTTAAGAAGGATGTTGGATTGTGGCATGGTATTCTTACGGTAAGATCTTTTCCCACATTTCTTAATAAGTAGCAAATCTAAGAGACAAAACTATACTGAGATGGTGCATATGTTGGAATGCTCCTATCAACAGATTGTAGGATTTTATGACAAGAAAATTGAGAACCTTGGTTTTTCAGAATAGTAATAGATCATTTAGTTCAACAAACCTGTCTTTTTTTCTCCCCACCCCAGAGTTCAACAATACTTTACCTGTGTTCTGACCATGTTCTCCAATTACACCTCTTTTTCAAGAATTCTAATTTTCTAGGTTAAGAGTGCTGAGCAGTTTACAATGTCTGTCCACCACCTCTATAGGTCTTCAACTCTGCCACCTTCTCTTTTCCTGTCAGTGTTTCTTCTAACATGAATCTTATTTACAACAGATTTAACCCCTGTGTGCAAGATGCAATGGAATTTTAATTTTCAGGCAATAAATTTCATCCTTGAATTTATGTAAGTAACTTATAATTAAAATAGCCACGCATACAAACACGATGGACCAAATTTCCTTTTCCTGTGCTGTGGTGTTCCTGTGACATGTAGGTTTGGTTTTCTCATTGCAAAACAATTGCTGTCATTTTTCTTTTCCTCCAGTCATTGCTGTAACTCAGCTACAGTTATTATTTTGTGCGTTACGAATTGTTATAGCTTCCTTTTATAATTTTCTTTAGGTTTTCATAAGCACCAACATTCAGTTGCTTTATTAAATTTAATCTTTGGTTTATTAAAAAAAAAATAAAATTGTATCAATTTTTATTTAAGAAAGCAGATTTTAGTTGAGCTCTAGGCAGGAGCACTTTCAATCATGTGTCAAAGACTGGTGGGTAAACTGAAGAAACGTCGAAGTGGAAGATAGCAAGTCCGAGCTATGCCTGCCTCTTCGTAGGATATTTGGAACAGTCCCTTTTCCACTGGTACACCGGCACCATCCCTCATCTTGTCCTCCATTACATTGATGATTGTATCAGCGCTGCCTTGTGCTCCCATGAGGAGTTTGAACAGTTCATCAACTTTACTAACACCTCTCGCCCCAACCTCAAATTCACCTGGACCATCTCCAATACCTCCCTCCCCTTCCTGGACACCTCTGTCTCCATCTCTGGTAACCACCTCAACGCCGATATCTATTTCAAACACACTGATTCCCATAGCTGCCTGGACTACTCCTCCTCTCACCCACACTCCTGCAAGAATGCGATCCCATATTCCCAATTCCACTGCCTCTGCCGCATCTGCTCCCAAGATGGAGGGTTCCACTCCCGGACATCCTAGATGTCCTCCTATTTCAAGGACCGTAACTTCCCCACTTCAGTGATCATAAATGCCCTCAAAACCGCATCTCTTACATTTCCCGCACTTCTGCCCTCACATCCCTCCCCCCAACAAAAATAAAGACAGAATCCCTCTTGTCCTCACGTATCACCCCACCAACCTCCAGATTCAGCGTATCATCCTCCACCACTTCCGCCACCTACAATCTGACCCCACAACCAAAGAGATGTTTCCCTCCCCACCCCATGTGCCTTTCGTAGGGACTGCTCACTCCGCAACTCCCTCATCAGCTCCACACTCCCCACTAACGCCCCACCCCTGACACCTTTCCCTGCAACCGCAGGAGGTGCTACACCTGCCCCTTCACCTACCCCCTCACTCCATCCAAGGCCCAAAGCAAACTTTCCATATCTGACAGGGGTTCACCTGTACATCCTCCAACCTGGTCTACTGTATCCATAGTTCCCGTTGTGGCCTCTACATTGGTGAGACCAAGCGCAGACTTGGGGACCGTTTTGTAGCGCTTCTGCACTCTGTGCGCAACAATCGACAACACCTTCCGGTCGCTAACCATTTTAACTCCCCCTCCCACTCCCTTGATGACATGTCCATCCTGGGCCTCCTCCAGTGCCACAATGATACCACCACAAACTGGGGGAGCAACACCTCATATTCCACCTCAGGAGCCTGCAGCCCAATGGCCTGAATGTAGAATTCACCAATTTTAAAATCTCCCCACCCTCGGCCTCATCCCACGTCCAAACCTCCCTCTCATCCCCGCCTCCTTGACCTGACACAACCTGTCCGTCTTCTTCCCCACCTATCCGCCCCACCCTTCCCACTGACCAATCCCCACTACCCACTACCTGCATCCACCTATCACCATCCCACGTCCCCTCCACCAGTGCCACCCATCCTCCCCCTCACCTTCTTGACCTGACACAACCTGTCAACGTTCTCTCCCACCTATCTACCTCTCCCTTCCCGCTGACCCATCCCTGCCATCCCCTACCTGCATCCACCTATCACCATCCCACCTTCCTTCCCCCAGCCCCACCCCTCTTCCCTCTATTTATTGCCCAGCTCCCTTCCCCTTCTCCATTTCTGAAGAAGGATCCTGACCTGAAATGTCGACTTTCCTTCTCCTTTGATGCAAATGTCAAAGTGAATGTTTCACACAAGAAGTGGCAACTTTCTCACATGTTTCAGTAAATTCCATAGCATTTTAAAACGGGAAGGATTTATCTGGGAAACAAGTACGTCAAATGGCTGCCAACAAAACAGATCTGTTTCTATCACTATCATTCCACTGAATTACGCTGGTTACGTATCCTTATAATTCTGGAAATAGTTTGCAAATCCTTAACGTTTGTGCAGACAAAAGTGGTTTAATATAATTATTAAATTGCATATTTATGAAACAAAAATTGTTATTTTCTATTGCCAAGTGCAGTATTTTCTTATTGTATTTTACTTTCTTCTTAGAGCGTTATGAACATGATGCATGTTATCAGTATTCCATATTCATTAATGAAGGTGAACCCTCTTTCATGGATACAAAAAGTCTATGCATATAAGGGTAAGTATTGATTACATTTCAGAAGATATTGTCTAAGGCAGATGTATGATTGTTTATTATTCTCCAGTGTTTATTGATAAAGTATAATTGCACATTTTAATTTTAATTGTTCATGTATTTGCATTCTGATCAAATCTGAAAATGAGCATAAGAATGCTAAGGTTTGGGTTTTATTTTAAAATTAAGGGTGAATTCGGAGAGAATGATTTAATGATATGTAATTCCAGCTAAAGTGGCATGTGTGAAGTCCAGGGACATGCACTGGGCCTTGGTTGCACACAGAGATCAGCGAGACATTAATCTCACCTCACTACGGATGCTAATAGTAGCAGATGGAGCCAATCCTTGTAAGTGACTATCTCTTCCACTAATCATGTTGTTTTGAAACAAATGTTCGATATGTAAATAACAACGTTTTAGCCCCAAAGTAGTGTTTAAAGTAACGATAGGGACACTTTCCAGAAAAGTTCAGAATTAATCATCATTGCTTTTCCCTTGTATGCAAATAGAAAGTGCCAACAAAATAGTGCACTGAATGTAAAAATCTCAATTTACAGAGAACAGCATCAACTGGGATTGTTTTACTTGCAATCCCACTGGTGTGTTATTTCGTCATAACTTTTACATTTTGACTGAAGATTATTATCTACAATCTTAAAATCAGGTGAAAATATTGACAGGTTTTATATAATCTGTGTTCAATGCTTTATATGGACCATGAGATATAGCAATGTCTTTTCACATGTGGGTTCTCGGTCACACTCGTGCCCACACTGATGAATTTGGACGTCTTCACTATGGCAGTTGCAATTAACGAGTGTAATAGGGCAGCTTCATTAGCAGGGTGCTGTCTGTAGTTAGGTGCAATTGGCACAAAGTTGATTATCTCATTATGAGAGGCCAAAGGATAACTGTGGGTGGAATAGGGAAGTGTATCAAGTGGAGCGGTTCTGAGATTTAAAGTATAATATGTGTTGGTCGCTTGCTGCATATTTAAAACCAGAGATATTATGTAGAAAGGTTCAGTTTATTTTGCAGGCAGTGAATAGAAACGCTAGTTATTTGAGTTTTCTACTAGCTGAATTGGTTATCTAGGTTTCTATGCACGTAGCTAACAAAGCCACCTCCTACAGATTATTGGAAGCATCATATTCAAATTTATTTGTATTCTTTCATGGCAAGTGGATGTCATTGGCAAAGCCAGCAATTTTTGCCCATCACTTGAACCGAGATGCTTGCTAGGCAATTTCAGAAGGCAGTTAAGAGTCAAACACATTGGTCTGGGCCTGGAGTCACATGTAGGCCATACCAGCTGAAGACTGCAAAGGGACCTTTCCTAACTGACATTAATGAGCCAACAAAGGATTTAACATCAAATTCATTTGATTGGCACTACATCTTGACTTCCTCCACCACCAATGCTCAGTAACAGCAGTGTGTACTATCTCCAAGATGCACTGCAGTAATTCACCAAAGATCCTCAGACAGCATCTTCCAAACCCATGACCACTTCCATCTAGAAGGACAAGGGCAGCAGATACTTGGGAACACTTCACTTCAGGCTACTCACCATCCTAATTTGGAAATATATCGCTGTTCCTTCACTGTCACTGCGTCAAAATCCTGGAATTCCCTCCATAATGGTTTTGTAGGTCTACCCACAGCAGATGGACTGCAGCAGTTCAAGAAGGCAGCTCACCACCACCTTCTCAAGTGCAACTATTGGACAGGCAATAGATGCTGGCCAGCCAGCGACACCCACATCCCACAAATGAATTTTAAAAAATGGCAAAGGTTTCATGCCTACCGTTATACTAGCATTTAATTCCAGATTTGTTAACTGAACTTCATAATCTGCTTTGTGAGATTCAGGCCTCCATCAGCAGAGCATTCGTCTGGTTCTTCGGATTGTTTACCTAGTGACAATATCATTCCACTGCCTTCATATAAGTTAATCTTGTTTATTTGGTTATTAAATTAGTAGCTTGTTAGCTCGAGTAATAACAAATTACGACCCCCTAAATTGGCCTCACAACCTGCTATTAAAATGAAACAAACGAATAAAGAGCAACATTGCTTTTTTTCTCAATGCCAAATTCTCAGTGGCATCAGATTCCTAACTCAGTGTGCAGTAAATACCAGCAAAAGTAGGCAGGTAGTAGGATTACCACAATGCAATTGCTACTATGTCACCTGATCTGATTCCCCTGCCTGACAACCCATTCCCAAGGCTACCATAAAATCCCACACACACCTTCTGTTAATTTAAGGAAAAATAGAAGTAAACAATTAAAACAAAGATTATTTTAGTAACAATACCTCCATTAATAGATTAGTCATCATACTGGGATGGCTACTATTGACTCATGCCCTCTTTGTGTGTAGGTTTGCACTCTGATCCTTGGGTGTGGTTAAACTAAGGCATTAGTTTTTTCATAGTTTTATGTTCAGGCCCCCCAGATCGCCTGGATCATTTTTCTGTGGCTGAATATCTTAAAGCACAATTTCTGACTGAAGTGAGCCATGGTTATTTTGGCTGTGAGATGAGATCCATTTTACTTGTAGCACATCTTCTATGTGAGGAAGGAAGCTGTTCAAGTGAATTCCATTTTTTATTATTCATTTATAATTCATCCATTTGATAAGGGCGCCACTGGCTAGGCAGCATTTATTGCTCATCCCTATTGCCGAGAGGACAGTTAAGAGTCAGCCAGATTACTGTGTGTCTGCAGTCACATGTAGGCTAGATGAAATAAGGATGGCAGGTTTCCTTCCCTGAAGGACATTAGTGAACCAGATGGGTTTTCCCTGACAATCGATAATGGATTCATGGTCATCATTAAACTCTTATTTCCAGATTATTATTGAATTCAAATTCCACCATATGCCAAGAATTGTAACAAAAGCATAGCTGTAGTGGCTTCTGGGACTAACATGCGCATTTCCAAGTCTTTCAGTATCCTCGTTGTAAAAGTAATATTTGTGCAATTGTTTAGTATTTAGTTCTCACTTAGTAAAATGAAAAATACATGAATGGAACTTGCATTGAGAGATTTAGAGTGGTCCTCAAGTTTAAAAAGAATGTGTTCTAATATTTTGTAAATGTTTTGTTCATTAGGGTCCATTTCTTCCTGTGACGCGTTCCTTAATGTCTTCCAAAGCAAAGGATTGCGTCCTGAAGTAATCTGTCCTTGTGCCAGTTCTCCGGAAGCTTTGACTGTAGCAATTCGTAGGTATGGTATGAGATTGTTTGACTTACAACCTTTACTAAATAATAAGTGAGTAGGGAGGATTTGATCAATTCTGGTGCCACAAACAAGTGCCTTGATGAGTAATTGCAAGATGAGCATGCAGTTGTCAACTGGCAAGCCAATGCAGATATCAAAATACATTGTAGTTAATAGTTAATCCTCTTAATAATTTCCTTCTTCATCCTGTCCGGCTCCAAACTGCTTTCCTAGTTTCTAAATCTGAGGAGATCTGAACTGCAGGTGCCTTCACAGCTGCTGTTAATTTGTTTCCTGCTGGGCAGAAGAGGACATACTTCATTTTTGCCACCATTGCTAGAAGAAAAATCAATATGATATTTTGTAAAGCTGAATATCATATTTAGTCCTATGTTCCATAAAGCCCCATGAGGCATAATTCATTTCTCTACATGTTGTGATGACAGTGATGAAAAAGTTGGAAGCTATACTGCTGCATTCAGACAATCAGGCATCAAATTTTTTTTTTAAAAAATGAGACTTTCCAACGAATAAATCAAATCAAGCAGTTTTGTTTTGGAGAAAAACAATATTTATTTCCTCCGAGGTACAACACTCAACAGCTTAACTGCATTAAATCCAGTGCTTGGTGTCTGCACAGGGATTGTAATTAGGAATGTCCTTTGGTACTTGGATTAAAACTCCAGACTTCTGAATTAGGTGCCAAATACTTGCTAAGTAACAAATTTTGATTTGATGTGGCAAACAATTGCAGCACTATCATGGCAGGGTTGCTCAGTGGTTAGCAGTGTTGCCCCACAGTGCCAGGGATCCGGGTTCGATTTCAATCTTGGACAATTGTCTGCGTGGAGTTTGCACATTCTCCCTGTATCTGTGTGGGTTTCTGCTGGGTGCTCTGGTTTTGTCCCACAGTCCAAAGGTGTCCAAGTTAGATGGATTGGCCATGCTAAATTGCCCATAGTGTTCAGGGAAATGGAGGGTTGCAGGGATAGGGTAGTGGAATGGGTCTGGGTGGGATGCTCTTTGGAGGGTTGGTGTGGACTCAAAGGGCTGAATAGCCTGCTTTCACACTGTGGGGATTCTATGATGATTATCATTTTCTGCATGACCAACGTTCTTCTGTAAATGTCTATATAAAACTCCATAAAATTTTAAGTGTATGCATCTATTTTAGGCCAACAGATGATACCAACCAGCCACCTGGCAGAGGGGTGCTCTCTATGCACGGCTTGAGTTATGGGGTGATAAGAGTGGACTCTGAAGAAAAGCTGTCGGTCCTGACTGTGCAGGATGTTGGCCTGGTGATGCCTGGAGGTATAGCTTAACAAAACGTACTTCTTTTTCTTCCTCAACTCAATATGGGGTAAAGTTGCTCAGATTTAAATTAATTGTACCTTGAAGAGATCCTTTTGTAAGCACATCCATGGTACTTATGTGGGAAACTTCCAATTGCTGGTTTTTCCCTGTCTGGATCCCTCCATAATTAGTAAGAACCATGCAAACTTGGGCTGTTTGCCGTATACTCAGCCAGCTTCCTACACAGGTTTACTTGGAGGTTTTCAAATTCGATCTAAAGTCTGCTGAGCAATGAAACTCCCAAGTAAATTCAGCCATTGGAGTAATATTCACCACTCCTTGCTATGCCTTCAAAAAGACACATATGAACTACAGAACATCCACCATATTGCAATGGTTAAAATCCTGAGACTGACGGATCTCGGTCTATACCCTACACCACTCTCTGTGGGTCAGAGGGTATATGATGAGGGTGAGCATTGTCCATGATTCAGAAGCGGGGCATGGGAGAGTGAACATTTGTCTGTGTTTCTGTGCAGGATGTAGTGAGGTTGAGAACTGTCCATGGTTCTGCACTGAGGGTGGGAGATCAGCACTGTTGTGTAAGTACCTTCAACCGCAGCAGGATTCCACAAACAGCAGTTTAAAGTTGTTGACTTTTTTTGTTGATGTTGGTAGAAAGCTCAGTGTTGACCAGAACACTGCGAATTGTGTGACTCTTCAAATGGAGCATGGGGCCATGTTTTTTATACATGCATATGATGCTTCTGTTCAGTGTTTGCTGTAAAAGGTAGCACTTCCGATCATGCAGCATATTCTAAATATCCCACTCCAGTGTTTTCAAATCCTGGTATAGGGTATAGACATAGAACCGTGAGTCTCAGAATCTTAATCATTGCAATATGGTGGATGTTCTGTAGTTCGTCTGTGTCTTTTTGAAGGCACAGTAATCCATTAGGTATTGGTTTTCTTCCTTTGCTCCTACCAATGAGTTATGTAGTATTAAACTATTTTAACTTGCAATGAAAGGGTCTTAGATTAGAGTGATGTATTTGATTAGTCCTATTTTCTTTAATAGCTACTTTGCATTAGGGAGAATTATAATTACTCTCCATTACTTTTGCCTTTGCCACCTTTACTCATGAACTTCAGTTTTCAGTACAAATTTGTTTCATTGTTCACTGTTCATTTTCAATGTTCATTACCTCACATTTGTCTATATTTAAAATTGACTCTGTGTGGGTTGTTCATTTAATTCATGCAGTCTTTCTCAGGTCTAGCAATTTCAGTTAAACGAGTCATTTAGTCACATAGTGTTAGAATTGTGTTATTCTACGATAGCTGAGCATCCTCATCCATATATTTAAGAATAATGGAATCAGCAGGACATTCATTAGATGCTCTGTATGCACTAACCCTCTTTAACATTGTCAAGTGGGTTTTCCTTCTGAATACATTCTGAAAAAGAAGTTAATAGTATCCACACAGTAGTCCTCATCTGCTCCTTAAAGGAGACTTGACTTTAGCTTCTTAAAAACAATGTTATAGATTATTTACGTCCTATGATATATTGATATGACCCTGTATAATGTTCTCCTTCCTTGCTGTAAGATTGATACCTAATTTACAGTTGATGACTTCCTCCTGCTTCAGACATTCTTAAAGAGTTCGTGTATGTTTTCCATTCCCACGTACTGGCAAAGCAGATAATTAGGGGTGATACTGACACCACAAAAGCTATGGCAGTGTACTGCTGGCTGGCTACTTTCCAATCTACTGAGGTGGTGGAGGGGATTATGGGGCAGTAGTGGAGATATGACAACATTGGGCATCGCACAAGTGGAGGAACCTCATTTGTTCACATAGTGGAATGGACTTCCCATCTTCGGGATTTCTGTTTGATTGCACTTATGATTCATGTATTTGTATGTCCATTGGCAGATTCCTTTTTCTTTCTAACTTTGCTTCTTCAAAATACACACTTTGAAATTTGGATCTAGTCAAATATTTCACGCTGTCATTAGATTCTCTACCTGCAAAATTGGAAGCTACTATTGTTTGAGTATTTGTTCATAATTTGCTGGCTGACTCACCTCCAACATGATGTAAGTAGACAGCTTATGACACGAGGAATCCGTTTTGCCCTTCGTGATTACGTCAGCTTAAAAAAAAGTGCTATCCAGTCTAAGGCTACTTTTCCAGCTCTTGATTCATCGTTCTGCAGTTACGATACTTCACTCTGCTGTAACAAAGTTCAGGTGTTCTGGTAGCGCACTCAAATTCTGTGAAGCTCTTCTTATTATGTGGTTTACTAGCTTTGACGAAAAATGTTTCCAAACATATAGCATCTGACTGGCTGCAATTTACTGCAATGACATAACTGGAAAGTTTGCACTCATCTTACAGTCCGTAACATGTGTTGAAATTATCCTGATACCCTCATAGTAGACTGAGCGATGTATTTTTGCCCCTGACTCGGGAGTGAGGACTTGGAAAAATTCCCAACTGACAGTTGGGCTCTTCTGAGGAAATGTTGGACAGGCTGAAATTGTATCCACTGGAATTTGAAAACTGAGGGGTAGTCTTACTGACACATATCAGATCCTGAGGGGACTTGACAGGGGTAGGCGCATTCCAGGCACTCTGCGTAAAACAAAACTTGCTTCTCACATCTCCTTTTGTCTTAAACCTATGTCCCCTTTTCATTCATATTTCTACCCTGGGAAAAAGACGCTGATTATCCATTCTATCCATGCGTCTCATAACTCTGAAACTTCAATCAGTTCACCTCTCAGCCTCCAACATTCAAGTGAAAACAAACTGAGTTTGTCCAATCTCTCTTCATAGTTAATACTCTCCAAACCAGGCAACATCCTGGTGAACTGTTTCTGTACCCTCTCCAAAGGTTCTAACATCCATCTGATAGTGTGGTGACCAGAAATGTACAAAGGTGTCCGAGTTAAAGTTCTATAGAGCTGCAACATGACTGTCAATTTTTATACTCTGTGCCCTAACCAGTGAAGGTAAGCATGCCAATTGCCTTCTTGACCCACTTATCCACTTGTCTTGCCACTCTAAGGGACTCTACACCTGTACACCTAGATTCCTCTGTATGTTAATGTTTCTAAGGATTCTGCTGTTTACTGTACCTTCCCGCCTGCATTCGATCTTTCAAAATGCATCACCTCACATTTGTCCGAATTAAACTCCATTGGCTAGTTCTCTGTCTAAGTCTCCAGCCTATCTGTACTGTATTCCTCTGGCAATCTTCCTCACTATCCACAGTTTACCTCAATTTTTGTGCTGTCTACAAATTTACCAGTCAGGCCATCTACATTCTCCTCCCAATCATTTATATATTATTACAAACAACAGGACAGTCCCAACACTTATCCCTGTGGAACTCCACTAGTCACAGACCTCCAATCAGAAAAACACCTTTCCGCCATTAATCTGTTTTCTTTGATCAAGCCAATTCTGCATCCATCTTACGAGCTCACCGTGAATCCCATGTGACTTCACTTTCTGTTTCAGTCTGCCATGAGGGACCTTGTCAAAGGCCCTACTAAAGTCCATGTAGATGACATCCACTGTCCTGCCCCCATCAGACATCTTTGTCACTACCTCAGAAAACTCAAGCATGATCTATCCCACTCAAAACCATGCTGTATATCTTATCATTAATAAGTCCATATTTTTCCAGATGTGAGTAAATCCTGTCCCGAAGAATCTTCTACAATGAGTTCGCTACCACTGATGTAAGGCTCACTGGCCTGTACTTTCCCAGATTATCATTGTTGCCCTTCTTAAATGAAAGAACAACTTTGGCTATTCTCCAGTCCTCTGTGACTATAGAGGATACAGATATTTTGTACAAGGCCCAAACAATTTCCTCCCTCACCTCACTCAGATACATGGGATACATCCCATCATGACCTGGGGACTTGTCTACCTTAACGCTTTTCAAAACACCCAACACCACCTTTTTTAATATTGATGTGCCCTAGAATATCAACATATCCCTCGTTAAACTCATCATCCACCACATCCTTCACCTTTGTGAATACTGATGCAAATTATTCATTAAGGACCTCACCCACTTCCTCTGGCTCCAGGCATGAATTCCCTCTTTTTTGTCCTTGAGTGATCCTAGCATTGCCCTAGCTACCTTTTTGCTGATTATGCAAGTATAAAACACCCTGGGAGTCATTAAGTATTTTTACTGAAGAGGTAGGTAGATAAGGGAGTTGCAGGTTGTGAGGCATAGGTGGGAGTTTGGAGTTGAGGCCTCAGACTGATCAGCTGTTGGTCTTTGAGATTATGCTGTATTAGTGGGCTATAGATGATTTCGGTAGAGGCTTTGCTGAATTGATACAAGAGTCAAGAAAATCTAGGGAAAAGATTAATGCTTGCCTTTCTTCAACTTTTTCCATTGAAAGTGAACACTGCACCATCCTTTGACCACTGCTGCTTGGGATTCAATGACACAAGCAGTGCATTAATCTATTCAATTCCCCTCCCTCTGCTGCAACAGTCAACATAATATTAGAGTTTAATTTCCCAGATGTGAATCCTGTATCAGAATAGACTTTAAAAACATCCTAACCTATTATTGTAAAACAAAGTACATTCTTTATATTATAAGCTGGTGAAATGTTTCCAAACTAAATTCCATTGATTAGTAAATCAAGACGCCTCATACAGTGCCCCAATTTCCTCTTGTTATAAAGAATGTGTGTTTTGGGAAACTGTGGATTTATTTGTCAAATAAATACTTATTATAAAAGTATTTATTTGTCAAATAGATACTTTTATAATATAACTTGAATGTATTTATTACATCATACCATTGATTTAATTATAAAACTTATTGTATAATATGTGAAAACTTAAGTAATCTGAAAGATTTAATGTAAATCATATAAATATTGTAGTTATAGATCTAAGCAACTTGACTTCTAAAATGCCTCTGCAGTACTGAACCTGAGAAGAGTCCTTTGTAGTTCAGAAAAGAAGTCCCCTTCGCATATTCCAAATGAAGATTTTGATTTGCTTTTTGATTTGTAAGTCCAGTGTTATTACTGAGTACCGTCTTTCTTATTTGGCAGAAAAGCAAAGTTAGTTAAGATTTACCAATATAGCTTGAGCTGTAAGTTTTAACTAAGTTATGTTGTTGAATTAAGTTTGTCTTGTCTTATGTTTTCCTGCAGGTGTGATGTGTGTTGTAAGACCAGAAGGAATTCCATTACTCTGTAGAACTGATGAAATAGGCGAACTTTGTGTGTGCTCCATTGCTGCAGGTACATCCTACTATGGTCTATCAGGAATGACGAAGAACACTTTTGAGGTACGGAGCGTGTACTCACTTTAAGTATTGTCAACAAAATGCATATTATAGTTATGAGAAAAAGCGAAACAAATATTTTTGTTAAAAACATACAGATGATAGGTCAGGTTTGCTTTTAAATGGTCAAAACAGTTGGGGAATTTTGAAATGTTATCCGCCTGCAGTAAATGTATTCAAAACTTCTGAGAGTATTCATTGCAAATTGTAAAGAACTATTCTCAGGCCAAGTATAAAGGTTGGGTTTGCTAACCTCTGCTGTGTTGAGTTGTAATCTTCTGACTGGGTTGGTGAGGCACTTTCTTTTTGGATTCTGTTCTTTTTATTCCTTACATTTGCATGTTCCAGGAAATTGCACAGCTACTGTAAGCTTTGGGTGTGTCTAGTCATGATGTGTGAACTATCATGATATTGAATGGCCTTGATGGACCTGCTGCTTAGATTTTTCTGCCCAACAATTTTTTTGGGGGACAAGTTGTGAAAGCAAGCAGGCATGTCCAATGCTGTGCAGGTCACGTTTTGCAGAGAAAATTAATTTTTTAGTTGTATTTAGTCACTGCAGGCTTTTTAATCTTTTAGAAATCTGAAACTATATCTAGTTTTGACCCATATTTTTGCTACAATCTTGAGAGTGTGATTCAGATCTACCTCCAATGGTTTGTAACTTAAATCTTTCACTGCATTCAACGTTGGCACATTCAGTATTACCAAGCAGTCCTCATATGGAAACTATCTCACCTTCCCTCTGGATAGAGATGGGATCTTAATTGAATTTGTCCTACTTGTGTCTCTCTC